GCCATGGACAGCAGAGACTAGTCAGAAAGAACACAACCCAAGTTCATAATATCCCTAGGTCAGAACAAAGCTCTTTGCAGCCTGCAAGTTTGTCAAACAGACGTTTAATTCAGACAAAAATTAACAGGCTAATTTGGCAAACCATAGTGAAATCCATTACTAGTTGTCAGATGTTGTCAAAGGACTGTAAGTACAGCGTGTATCAGTTAATAGCTCAGGGAAGGAATACTGTCACAGCAGCATTGGTTGGACCAAGCTGCTGAGCTCTTCGAACAGGTCAGGGCAGCTATGGCCACAAGGAGAGATTGCTCAGCAATTCGAGCACAATTTACTTGAACCAATGAACCCTGTGGAGAAAAAGGGTAGAGAATTGTATTCTGATGCTCACTCCTGGCCCAGCCTTGATGATTTCCCACTTCACCTGTCCTTACTTTCCCTTTGAAAAAAAAAAAATAATAATTTACAATTCTTCCTTTATTTCAGAACAGTAGAAGGGAAAGTCTCATAGCAAAAAAATCCACAATATCTCTAATATTCTTAGGTACAGAACACCACATGCATTCAGAACATTCTGCCTCTCTTGTTTACATCGGTAGCAAATTGCACGTCAGCCACCATGGTTCAAACAGCTTGACTACAGATTTGCAAAAACAAAGTGGATGTTCTCCCATCAAACTCAAGTCACTGACAAGACCAGTGATAGCAAGCACCTTTTATTTAAGGCTGGAACTTGAAAACATTTATACCTTTCATTTCCAGCAGTCTACCCACAGTGTATCAACAGTGACGGTGAATGGAATTGTCCACATTTCCCAACGGGTAGCACATAAAAGGATTTTTTCCTGCTGCCCTTTTGTGCCTTTGTTTTGCTGCTCATGTCAAGGACACAACAGGGAAAGGGAGGAGTAGACAGGATATGCTATACGAGCTCTATTATTACTTTAACTTTGCATTTTCCAATGGGAAACCACATCAGGGAGGGGAAGAGTCTCACAGGAAGCTTTCCATACTGTAAGTCACAGGCTGGCTACTGAACCTTTCCAAACATGCTCCCATGTTTGCCTCCTATTCCATGACTGCCTTTAGTTAATGCCTCAGTTGGTTTCTCTTCTCTCAAGAGCTTTCCCTCCACTACTTCATGAATAAATGTTATTTCTGTTTTGTTCAAACATCAGACAGATTCCTTAGCATACCAGCTGTTTCCAGTCAAACCATTTCAAGACATAAATTTGTCATTATAAACAAAGACAAATGTAGGTTAATCCAAAGTAAACTAAAAGCATATTTGCATCATTTACGATATTTACCATATATAAACTATAGTAAGCACAGCTGTATAAATGCATCATTTCTTTCCACATCTCAAGCCAAGAGGCTACTAATACCAAAATATCTATTACTCATCATTTTCAGGAAGAAGATGCCAACATTGATGCAATGCTGCTAGAGTGCATCACTTTTGCCATATGCAGCATCTGAGAATCAGAAAGCTCTACAAAGGGTTGTTCTGTTGTTTTGGGGGTTTTTTTAAATGAGTGTTTTCTAATCGTTAATCTATTGATGCCATGTTCTGCAATCAAGGAAAACTATTACTTTCTAATTTCCTGAGAAGGGAAAACATTATTTTCCACTGTTTTTCTTTCTAATGCATATCAGCAAAGGATCATGGTTCTACTAAGTTTTTCTGCATGCTTCTCTCCACTGCAGAGGCTTCTGTCCTTGTTTTGTTATCCAAAACAAGTGATACAACAATTACTTGTTGCTGGAGTCACATTTAGGGGGTAGGGACAAGAAAGAATATCTCATTACCCATGTTCAAAAAAGCTTACTATTATACGCAAACAGTTGAGAAGAAAAAAACCAACAACAAATCCCAATCTCAAAGCCTAGTATACAGTATCAGAGAACCCTCCAGAGAAAATGTGTAGGCATATAATCATGCACCACATTTCTGAGATGGAGTCCTAAATATCTATAAAGATGGCAAATGTCCCATTACAAAAACTGTCTTATAAGACGACACCTTTTTGATTATTTTTCCTCTCAAATTCCTGTAGTTTGAACTCTTCATCATTAGTTTAGTAGGATTTTCACCTGGTTAAGAAAATTGAATCAGAAACAGAAAGGAAGTTAATGATAATATAATGATTAAGCCTTGCCACAAACTGTCATATGCTTACAATCTCCACAGTCACACAGATTCAAGAAGTAATTTATCTGTCTGTTCCCACACTTCCAACTGACACTTCTGATTCAGACACTAGTATGGCGGAAGCAGAAACACGTCTGAAAAGACTGGTACTTCTGTGAGAAGGTACTAACTGCCTAAAACATGCAGAAGAAATAGAGTTTTATTTTGGTTGGGTGGTTGGTTGATTGTTTTTTTAATCTCAAAAGTTTTCATTTAAGTTTATGTTTTCATTTCAGGATACATATTCTTCAGCTTCAGATCCTTACAAATATCTATGCAGTTTTTAATATTAACCACCTCTGCTTTTCTACTCCCCCCCTTCAAAGGTATATACTTCTAAGTAATCTCATCTGGTTTAATGCCCCAAAATGGACATCACATATCTTTCTGCACTCTTGCAAAGATCTATGTTTTTCCTAGCTCAAGACAATGAAGCTTTATCCTCTTAGTCATGGCAGCTGAAGGCAGCACAGGGTCTTTTGCCACGGATAACTATATAAACCCTTCCTCCACCTCATAATCTGTACAGGCCTCAAAAACAGGAAGCCTATTTAATGGAGTAGCACAGCTGAAGTAATGGGTGCTCAAGAGTGTTACTGATAAGCAGCTTGATAACAGACTAACAGTTGAGAAGTCTGTAGTCCAAAGGACTAAGAGCCTTTGCAAGCTACCTGCAGCCCTGTACAACGAGGACCTACAGAACAGGAAGTGACCAAGTAATATGGCACAAAGCGAACACATGGTGCTAGTAAGGACTGGCATTTAAGAGACTGCTTAGCTTTTGGATAAAAATCAAATAACAACAAAAAAAAATCTATTAGATCTGCAAGATAGCATGCAGTAGAAAGCACACAACGCAAAATATAAGGAATTAATTAAATAAGAAATATGAATTGGAGTTTTGTCATTTGTTTCTTGACATCATAGGGAGCACCATACTTGCCAGCTGCCAGACTGCTCACATACCCCAGCAACAAATTCAGTGCGGGGGTTACATGACTAAGCAGGAGCAGGGCACGGTGCAGAGGGAGGAACTACCCCACTGCACTTCCACATAGCTCTCTCACTTCAGCAGGCCACTGCCTTTACTCCGACACCAAAGCTGTCCAAACCCACTCTCCAGATAGATCACCCAAAACTCGCCTTTCCAATGACAGGCATTTCTACATAAGCAACTATTCTCAGCACCTAGCATTTTCCTAAAGGAACTGTTTTAGCCTTAAAATGCACTTTACATGGGATGCATATTCTCCCTTTACACCGTGTCGACAACAGTGCAACTGGATGCTCTGAAGCCTACTCATCATCATCCTCACTTTCCTCTCTTAGGTACCAGCAGTTGATGAAATCAATTCCTCTCAGCATTTTCATAAATGAAGCTAGCTCTTTATAGTCTGCAAGTTGAAAGGTTTGATGAAATTAAATATTATGCTGGCCAAAAGGTCTCAACGAGATGTCAGTCATCCAACTATCACTATAACTGCAGCTACCACAACTTAGCATTGCACTGTAGTATACACACCACACTCACGATTTTAAACTGAAACAAAACCAATTATTGTCAGAGGGTGTATGCTATACTGTTTATACCCAAACGTGCAACACACATACATTTATACGTGGACATCCTCTCAAATTAATTTGGACAGCTTACTATAGCCTTCTAAAGAGCTGGCAGATGGTTTGCATACCTTACAGCCACTAGAACCGCACACTGTAACCCTCTCGGATCCTTCAAAATAAGTATACTCTTATCATATAGGAATTTGGAGAGTGGAAGGCCTCCTAGGGAACTTAAATACCTCAGGAAAATATGCCTTTGACTTTGCAAGCAACAGTTTCCTCCATGAGGATTTTCTCCGTATTGCCCAAATCTGTTATTTTCTACCACTTAGAAAATAGTCTTTTAGATGTTGGAAACAGAACTCAGGCAAATGTCATGAGAAAAAAAACAACCTCAAGGAGATAATAAATTTCACCTGGAAACAAATTCTAAGAATAAAAGCAAATGCTAAGCTTCATGATTCTGTCCTCAGGTAAGACTTACTGGTGGTATATAGCCCTCATCACAGTTGTTCAAAAGTCACCTACACTGTGACTGTACACCTAACAAAACAAGAAGCAGTATGTGCCAAGCTTCCTCCTGAAAAGTATTAACAGTAGCAGCAGCATTCCCACTCCAAAAGCTCCAGGATTTGAAGCATGATTTGAGCAACAGTGTCTTATACATTGTGTAAGCAGAGCTTACACAATGAATTTCTACAAAACACCCCATTCATCTAGCTGTTCTCATCATTAATTGGAACAACTAGGAGCAGCATAAAAAAATAACTTAGCATATTTGGGACATATGTTTGAAGTAAAGTTCATGTATCTTTTACATAACTTAATTAAGGCTTGGGAAGTTTAACTTAACGGCATTTGGAAAATATTAAGGCACTCCAGACATAGCTTACAACAATATGTGCACTTAGCCAACATGTTTTGATGTACAACATCACTCAAACATCATGGATATTTAAAAACAAATGTATACAAACTCTTCATCAATTACATTAGGCCAGAATCCTCAGCAACTGATACACATGAATTCTACATTTTCTTACAGCTTAAGAGGTTGACATTTTCTCTCCTGGTATTAGTAAATCTTTGACAGGATGAACCCATACCATAGTTTATGTAAACTAATATGACAAATCCCTTTTGCTAGCTGCATTACTTAATCCTGATCCCAAAAAACTAACAGCTTTTCACTCAAATGGCATTAACACTAACAAAAATTATTTATTTAGTTAGAACATTGCCTTACCGTGTAAATGCCAATTCTACAAACAGCAAATGAGAGCTGGATGCATTCAGACATAGTCTAAAGAAATTAAAATAAAGACATTACCAAGAATTCTATTTGTTAAGAATTAATTTTCTTCACATTTCTCCCCTCTCTCCTGAAAGAAGCACCTGATGGTACACTACTTTATCTTTCTTCTGTAAGGCTGTATTAAACAAACTGAGAAAAATACCATACAAATTTAGATAATGCAGATATTTACTACCTTTCACACAGTAACAGTTGCGCCAACACCATTACACTTGCTAATTCCGTATTTCGTTATAGGCCTCAAATTACCTAATGCTCCCCAAAATGCCTGTACACTACATTAACATTTTACATGCAAGCTTTCAGTCCTATTTATTTTTATCTACTCTGGTTTAAAAACAACCTGCAAGAGACATTTTAATAGAGTAAGGTGCTTTTTGACTTCTTAGTGGACTCTTTATTGTCTTGAATGTTTTATTTGATCTGCTCTTACAGCTGTGAATAATCATATTAAAAGTCTTTACCCTCAACTCGCTCAACTTCCAATCTGTTGGGATGCCACAATTCTGTCTTCTGCAGTCACCCAGAGAGGCTGAGGACGGGCTATGAATTTCTGATGAAACAGATGAAAAACACTTTCTTTAAATAGCATAAAGAAGCCAGAGAACAAATGCAACTCCCAATACGAAAATAAAACCTATTGTATGTTTACCATTTTTTATATAGGGACAGGTACAATAAACCAGGCTTAAAATAATTTATTCAGAAGAGTAATTGAGGCATTACTTTAATTAAGATATCTGAGAAGTCACGGTAGGAAAAAATTAAAGCAATCAAGTGGAACAATTTTGCAGTATGTTTAACAAGTTCACACATCATCTGTATGTATTTTAATGAAGTGCTGGATGCTAAAGACTTCAAACAACATCACTGAAAACTTTTTCCACCTGCTCCCTAGCCTCTGCTTCCTAACCTGCCGCCCAAAAAAAAAAGGTTGTTTTATTACACATTTAATTAGAATTGTGATTTTAAAAATTAAAAGAACAGTTGTTATTATAAGTAATAAAAAAAATTGTAGCAACATTTTTCTTTTGCTGTAAAATTTAAATTTTACACAAAGAGTAGTCCACTGAACGGTCTGAAAGTCAAAAAAAGCACAGCACAAAAACCTGAAAGCAAACCTCAACAGAATGGTTGATTTTGTTTTCTTACTGGAAGCAATCTAGAATATTATTACTACAAGGAAATGCTGCTTCAAAGCACCATTTAAATTGCCAGGATTTATTATTTTTTTTTGTCCCAGCTTTCAGAACAAACATCCAATTCTATGACTTCTGATCCGAGTTTCCCACAGAAAAAAAAGTCACAGAAAAATAGGAATAGAACTGACTTAGAGAAATCCTATGCTACACAAAGTGGTGGGGTGGGCTTATAAACTATACTCACTGCCCTCCTGGCAGTACTTGCAGACTTTGTTCCAAAGGTTCCAGGGATGGATGACTTCCCCAGGCAATCTAGTCCAGCGCTCCATTACCCTTTCTACTAGAAAGTTTCCTAATGTTTAACCTGAGTCTGCTGCAATTTAAACCCACACTTAAACACAGAGTGATACATACCGTGATTTATATTTTCATTACTGTATTTTTACTGACGGATTCTATGTTGAAGGAAGACTCAACTTTATATATAAAGTAAAAAATTATTTCATGTTGCAAGGGAAGTAAGCATGCAGCAGCAGTAAACTGTTACAGTTTCTCAATGTATATAGTTTGTGTTTATTCTAGACAAGTGCACTTTTATTCTATGCACTATTTTATTCTATAAAGCGTTTCTATAAGCTGTTTTCCTTTTTTAATTCATGGGAGATCTAAGCTGCAGTTCACATTCCCCAGCGCATGCCTGCAGACCCTTGCTTCAGCAGAATAAAGCCAGCTACATACATCTGTGTTACCTTACTCATCTGTTGCTGCGTTTGCTACTGCTAATGTTTTGAACCAAGCTATTAACAGGCATGAATTCTAAAATTATCTCCCCCTTCTACTGTCACATAAAGTACCAGTGAACGTTTGCCTATGCATTTCCCAATGAAATATTAAGCTAATCCCTTCCCCAAGCCTGTAAGATAACACTTATGATCTGCAGTCTACAATGACTTGAAAAAGCTCAGTAATTCCAATGCTGTTATTAGCTTCTCCCAAATTCACCTTTACTCCCCCCCCCAAAAAAATTTACATTCCCCCCAATATTATTTCAGTTTAATCACTGAAAAAGCGATTTATTTAAATAATTATAGGTTTAGTGGTATTATCCTACAGACTATCATTGTGATCACTGAATCACAATACATGTGAATGTGGAATTTATTCTTGATACTTGTAATCTTTCATTTCAGACCATACAATTGGGCAACAAAGCAATTGTTGGAGAATTTGCATTTAATTTACTTACAGTTTATTGTTGCTTTCTGAAACGATTTTGCATGGTAAGCATGAAAGTAAAAGAAAAAAATAATGTAAAAATATACCTACAAATATTACAAAAGAAAGATACCTTGTTTGACAATTCTACAAAGACTTAATCTTAACAGAAGTCACTTAACATGTCTAAAGTGAGAAACAGTCATCAGATCAAATGTGTCAAACAACATAAGCATGCACCTCCGTCAATTTGCACCTTCTGCTTAGAAAGGGGTCATCTCACAAACATTAAATAATTTCTTCAGATGGAAACTAAACTCATGGCTAACATTCATCTATGCCCAAAACTTTGTTATTTTAAACATATGTTGTAAAAACATGACTGTTCATAACGACTTAGAAAGAAGTCTGCCTTGCAGCTGTACAACCTTTCATTCACAACAAGCATTTGTTCTATCCATTTTTTCAAGCATTCAGCCATCACTAAAAATACCAGTACAAAATAATTTCAGTATTTGGTGTTTAAAACAAAAACTCATACAGCTCTGATACAGGCACACATTAGGCTGCAGTATGATTCTATGATTCTACATACAACCACACGAATTCATTTCTTCTCCAAATAAGAAATGAAATTTCTGCCCATAATATTTACAAGAGCAAATTTTGAAGACATTAATCAGAGTCTGTTCTGCAACTGATTACGTCAAAGCTGCAATCACTGAGTTGAAAGGACTAATCTCAAGAACCTTGGTGGGCAAAAAAAGGAGGAGGGATCCTAATCACCTTCTCAGAAAAGACACAAAAGGCTCAACACCTGACAGGACTGCAGGAGCTGCTACCCTCAGTTGGGCCAACCAACAGAAATACTCGCCTTGACCTCAGCTTGCTGTGCCATAATCCTAAATACCATGCAGCACTAACTATAAAGTCCACAAAACTAGAAAGTAATATGAGAAAAAGCAGTTGTGGGTTGTTTTTTCTTCTGGCAATGTGTTTCTTTAGTAAAATTAAGATGACCTCCTGCTCATTTATAAAGAAGAGGTCCATCATCATAATCACCTTCCACACAAAAGCCTTTCCACCTTTATTCTTACCTGCATCTTTTCCAGTGCATAAGAAGTGTGAGAATCAGCAACACAAGTGTAAACAATATTCAGATTTTAAGGTACCCATATATATGGTGCCTGTAAGAAATTCTCAGTGCTTACGTGTTTTAAACAACCTGTAGGTACCCAAGAGCACACACAACTCTGCTACAGAACAAGTAGCAGAAACTTTGACTAGAACTGCTGTTTGCTAAGCTTCTGTACTGAACTGCAAACAACTCAAAGGCTCCTCTCTATCCACAGAAGATGTCACAGCCCTCTAAGCGCATTCCATTAATAACATTTCTAATTTAAACACCCCAAATTCCTTTTTAATACAGTTTTCAGGGGTGAGACACACAAAATATTTTCATATTGTCCTTTAATTCTGAATAATTAGATTTTTAAAATACTGATCTTCCTGTACATAATCATTAGGAAACAAATCTGAGTTTAGAGACTAAAGAAACCTGATGCTGATAGAAAGGCAATGACATGTGAACAGGAAATAGGATTGGATCCAAGAACTCTCTTGTCATCATAAAAAGTAATCAAGTGAATGCACCAGAGAACAATGCTCTCCCCTCTTTTAAGCAATATTCTCACTAGAACAGTTTTCCATGACTGTTTCCAGGACTGCAATGGTTCAGGCAGTGAAAGATGCAGATTAGTCAACACAAAATTAATAGCTGCAAGAACAGCATAGACATTTCTCAAGAATTCTGGACCTTTTCTACTGTCTTGCTGAAACCTGAAATTATGCAAGTTTCTAGGCAAGAATAAAGTCCTGAGAGAAGAGATGACTCACTGTAGAGTGCATCATCACTCTGCACTCCACACAGGCTGTCAATTCAGTTTCAGGTTCACGCAGTGTTGTCGGCCTTACATATAAAGTGATAAATTGGTTAGGATACAAATGTTAGAAGGCCAATAGCCTCTACTCATATATCAAGGCATCACCTCTACAACTCTAGGCAGCAACTCTAGCTACGCATCCCTAGAGCAAATTAAGTATCTTCATTAATCTCTCCGAATTAAAAAGTTTCACCTCCTGTGCAGTCAATAAAATTCTGCTTACAATGGGGAGCAATCCTGGACACCATTTGGAATATCTCCATTTTCTAACTGCAATTTCCTGTTCTGGAACTAGATCTAGCTGTCCCCTCAATGAAGAAGGATGGAGCATAAGCACCAGGATATACAGGGAATCATCTCTCATGGACACATCCTTAGGTTCCAGTAATCACAGCTTCAGGATATCCACAAGGTGACCATCACATCCGAACACAATGTTTAATACTCCCTGGCAATGGACCTGTCTTCCAAGAGACTGTACAAATTCATAGTCTACTCATTCTGGCCTCCCTAATGTTACTACACAAATGAGAACCAAAATTCAGCTATACTAGTGGGAAAAAGCAATTCCTGGATTATAACTGTCATCAAGTTCTCCTATTGGGAGAAATTACTTACTGCCTATTTACCCTCTCTTTATGATTTCAAAGATGTCTATAATATTGCCTTCCTACACCATTCAGCTGTCTCTTTTTCAGACTGAAAGGCTATAGCTATTTAATCCCTCCTTCTATGGAAGCAATTGTTTTCTTTCAATTACTGTGTCATCCTTCTCTGTATCGTCTTTTGGGTTTACAACACTCTGAGACAATGTAACCAGAAATGTAGCATTTAAGACAACAGCAAACCTTACATTTAAGCAGTGTATAAATGAGATTTTTCCTTCTCAATACTCTAAACTTGTTGACAGGTGTCTGGGTTGAGATGATATTTTAAAGAAGGATCCTCCTTCCCTTTCCTGAGTACCAATGGCATTTTAGGGCCTATCCATGCATTTGAACTGCCATGTGACTTCTATAAATATATGCAACTTTGTATTTATCAACACAGAATTTCATCTGCCATTTTATTACCAATATCAGACGGGGTACTATGATTTTTTATTCCCCAGGTTCAATATGCACTCTTAATATTCATCCATGTGTCAGCCCACCCAAAGGATAAGCAGTTTATACAACTAAAGAAAAACATGAAATTCCCTTGTAATTCCTGCATTCTCTTCTCCCTCTTATTCACTGCCAGAGCAGGTCTATCAATGCTCATTTATTAAACTTACTATTGACAGTTTACAGAACAAATACTTCATTTTTAATTGCTCCAAATTTTTTCATCTCTATTAGAGTCAAATCATATAAAGGAAGACTAGACAGCAGTTGCTGAAAAATTAGTAAAACGTAAAAAAAAGATGCTTCTTCCATCCAAAAGCTCCAAGTAATAAGAAAAAAAAAATAAATCTGCAAACTCAATTCCCCTATATCAAAAGTTCCTACTGGCTCTTGGATGCCATTTTGGTTCCCCAGACTCTCCAATGCTAATGTGGTTCTGTGAACAAATTTTCTTTCTACTACTCTACCAAACATACTCCATAAAAGCAAAGCACTGTACAAAGATTTATGTTTTTCCTGCTGTCTGTCTTAAAAGCAACAAAGCTACAGGGGAGGACTGCATCTAAACGTACGAGGACTTGTCAGCTAGACTTCCTGCTTTGTGTCTCTTCCTCAGATAGCAGGAAGCTACTTACGTCCTCGTATTGGCAATTAATATAGACACCTTACCAGGCTGCCAGTGAGACAAAAGAGAAATTCTGTTCTCTGAAGAGCTCCAGCATGAGATAAGCCTGTCTTTTATTTAATTGAAAATACCCTACTTACGTCCCCAAGGACTTACATACAGTCAGAAAGTTAGCACTTCAGAAAGTTTTGCTGCATACGCAGTGAAAAAGAGCAAAATCAACATACTCCAGAGTACTAGGAGCCAAAACCCAAACAATCACAAGATTTTAAGTACTGCATATGGTTTTTTCCTTATGGCTTTACAGCTGTTTGGGACCACATTGGATCTTTAAAGTTTGAAACTAAAAATTATTCTTTTATTAATGGAAAGTTGATAACCTCACATGATCACAAAACTTCAGAACACATTTTAAGAGAATAAACATCACAAGCTGGTAGTATTAAAAACATGAGCTGATGATACTGACAAGAAGCCAAAAATGGTAATCAGCATGCAGTATTAGGAGGAATATTCTGTCCTTACTAAATGCAGATTTTGTTACTTATTAAAAGCTTGCATTTCTAACCTTTTGTGAAATTCATCACCATGTTGCCTCAAGCTTGGATGTCTGAAGAATTCAAGAGCTGCACACTCTAGAGCAACATGGATGCTAATTCATTATAGGGCTATTCGTAACAACACAGAGTGGCACATCTTCAGAAACCGAGACACATTTTTGACGTAATAACATCTACCACTTTAATGCAATCCTCATCACAGAAAAAGCAAAATGGTAATTTGATTTTAAATGTGCTAATTCACTTGTTTTTTCAGTCCGTCTATCTGAAGAGAACGAAATTTCTGGCACTGCAATAGTCCCATAAGTTCACAGAATCTTGCTCTGGATATAATCATATTAAGGCATTCTTTTGTGTTCCCAAGGAAGCTGTATTAAGTTTCACTGTTTTCAACAGCCACCTTTCAATCAAAAGTTTACCTGGGGAATTCAATAATGCTTCCTATTGCAGGAAGAGCAAACGCAGCATTTGACTTTTATTTTCTGCAAAGGAATTATACACTTCAGCTCACTGATTTATATTCAGGCAGGTAGTTTGCACTGACTTAAGTCACCAGTATTTTTATTGCCCTTCTTTATGGATGAATACATCTTTCATTCAGCAAAAACTGTTTTCTATACTGCCTAGGCAGATTCTATCAAGGAGGAAGATTTGTTTTCTAGCACATTTCTGTTCCAGGTCTTCAGCCAGATCAGGTTCCCCAAGGTACTTCAATCAAAAGCATGCTCATTCAGGTGAGGTCATCTCTCAGAATTTATTCCATTTGCCATTCCCAGTTAATTTAGGTTTGGATGTTATGCTTCACAGAGCTGAA